CGGACCTGGCGCGGGTCTTCGCGCCGGCTCAGGCCACGGACAGCGCGGCGGAGAGTTTGCGGACGCCTGGACGCAATTCTTGGCAACCGAGGACTCACAATCAAAACCTAGTGGTGCTGAACGAGCCTACCCAAAATCAGGTACAACGTCACAAGGGCATGCCGTCAATTTGTGGCTGGAGTGTATCCTCCCCCTCCCCCCCCCCCCCCGCCCGCCTGTGTGTTTCTGGGTTATCACTCGTTCATATTCTATGGCCTCCGGCCTGGTTCCGCCGACCCCATAGGGCTCAGATTCGGTCTTGGCCTGACAGGTAATTCCAGGAAGTAAATCCTAAGAAATGCATTGGGGAAAAGGTAAGAATAATAGCAACACATACCAGTAAGGTCCGGCAGAGCCGGGGGGCGGAAGTTTCAAAGCAGTGAACAACTATAGTTTGGAGAACTGTCCTTGGCCCCTTGCTTCTCTCTCTCTCTCTCTCTTTTTCTCTCTTTCTCTCTTTCTCTCTTTTCTCTTTCTCTTTCTCTTTCTGTTTCTCTGTCTCTTTCTCTCTCTTTCTATCTATCTCTCTAGCTATCTCTATATCTGTTTATTGATCTATCTATCTACCCATCTTTCTCTGCACTTAAAAGTTGCGATGTTCAATCCCCGAAAGTTGACTTCGCGTACTACTTTCGTACTTAAAAGTTGCGATTTTCGAGCCCCAGCTGCGAAACTGGACTTCACGTACTACTTTCGTAGTTAAAAGTTGCGATTTTCGAGCCCCAGCTACGAAAGTGGACTTCGCGTACTACTTTCGTACTAAAAAGTCGCGATTTTCGAGCCCCAGCTGCGAAAGTGGACTTTGCGTACTACTTTCGTACTTAAAAGTTGCGATTTTCAAGCCCCGGCTGCGAAAGTGGACTTTGCGCACTACTTTCGTACTTAAAAGTTGCGATTTTCAAGCCCCAGCTGCGAAAGTTGACTTCGCGTACTACTTTCGTACTTAAAAGTTGCGATTTATCTATAGATCTACCTATCTATCTACCTCTCTATCTCCTATCTATCTATCTACCTCTCTATTTATTTATCTCTCTATCTCTTTATCTATCTAGCTAGTTATTTGTCTATCTATCTACAAATCTATCTATCTCTGTCTATCTCTGTTTCTCTATCTCTTTCTATCTATTTCTCTAGCTATCTCTATATCTGTTTATTGATCTATCTATCTACCCATCTTTCTCTGCACTTAAAAGTTGCGATGTTCAATCCCCGAAAGTTGACTTCGCGTACTACTTTCGTACTTAAAAGTTGCGATTTTCGAGCCCCAGCTGCGAAACTGGACTTCGCGTTCTACTTTCGTACTTAAAAGTTGCGATTTGCAAGCCCCAGCTGCGAAAGTGGACTTCACGTACTACTTTCGTACTTAAAAGTTGCGATTTTCGAGCCACGAAATCTGTATTTGACCTTGCGAAAGCGCTGCGCCTGCCACGAAATCTATACTTGACCTTGGCCACGAAATCTATATTTGACCTTGCAAAAGTGCTGCGCCTGCCACGAAATCTGCACTTGACCTTGCGAAAACGCTGCGCCTGCCACAAAATCTGTACTTGACCTTACGAAAGTGCTGCGCCTGCCACGAAAATACCACCTTGCGAAAGTGCTGCGCCTGCCACGATCCTTTGCGAAAGTGCTGCGCCTGCCACGAAATCTGACCCACGAAATCTATACTTGACCTTGCGAAAGTGCTGCGCCTGCCACGAAATCTATAATTGACCTTGCGAAAGTGCTGCGCCTGCCACGAAATCTACACTTGACCTTGGGAAAGTGCTGCGCCTGCCACGAAATCTACACTTGACCTTGCGAAAGTGCTGCGCCTGCCACGAAATCTACACTTGACCTTGCGAAAGTGCTCTGCCACGAAATCTATACTTGACCTTGCGAAAGTGCTGCGCCTGCCACGAAATCTACACTTGACCTTGCGAAAGTGCTGCGCCTGCCACGAAATCTACACTTGACCTTGCGAAAGTGCTGCGCCTGCCACGAAATCTACACTTGACCTTGCGAAAGTGCTGCGCCTGCCACGCAATTCAAACCTTGCGAAACCTTCGCGCGGCCGTGCCAATGGTCCCGTCTCCGAGACCGTTCCGAACCCGTTCCGCACCGCCTCCGTACAGGCGTCGCAGCCGAGGTGGTTTGCGCACTGTCCGGAAGCCCAATTCACGCACAGCGCCAACGTTTTCTGCATCTTGCCATCCCCCAGCTCGCAGAGAGTGCTTGCGAAAGTGCTGCGCCTGCCACGAAATCTATACTTGACCTTGCGAAAGTGCTGCGCCTGCCACGAAATCTATACTTGACCTTGCGAAAGTGCTGCGCCTGCCACGCAATTCAAACCTTGCGAAACCTTCGCGCGGCCGTGCCAATGGGCCCGTCTCCGAGACCGTTCCGCACCCGTTCCGAGACCGTTCCGAGACCGCCTCCGTACAGGCGTCGCAGCCGAGGTGGTTTGCGCACAGTCCGGAAGCCCAATTCACGCACAGCGCCAACGTTTTCTGCATCTTGCCATCCCCCAGCTCGCAGAGAGTGCTTGCGAAAGTGCTGCGCCTGCCACGAAATCGATACTTGACCTTGCGAAAGTGCTGCGAAAGTGCTGCGCCTGTCACGAAATCTACACTTGACCTTGCGAAAGTGCTGCGCCTGCCACGCAATTCAAACCTTGCGAAACCTTCGCGCGGCCGTGCCAATGGTCCCGTCTCCGAGACCGTTCCGCACCCGTTCCGAACCCGTTCCGAGACCGCCGCCGTACAGGCGTCGCAGCCGAGGTGGTTTGCGCACAGTCCGGAAGCCCAATTCACGCACAGCGCCAACGTTTTCTACATCTTGCCATCCCCCAGCTCTAGCTTTTTTCTGAAAGCTAGCTATATGTCATGCCAGCCTTTTGGAAAGCTATCTATGTGTCAAGCTAGCTATATGTCAAAGCTATCTATCTGTCATGCTAGCCCATTGGAAAGCTATCTATCTGTCAAGCTAGCTATATGTCAAAGCTATCTATCTGTCAAGCTAGCTATATGTCAAAGCTATCTATCTGTCATGCTAGTCTTTGGAAAGCTATCTATGTGTTAAGCTAGCTATATGTCAAAGCTATCTATCTGTCATGCTAGCCTATTGGAAAGCTATCTATCTGTCAAGCTAGCTATATGTCAAAGCTATCTATTTGTCATGCTAGCTATCTGTTATAGCTATATGTCAAAGCAGCTAGCTCATTTAGTTCCAGTACTACGGAAGTTTCTTGTTAAACTTCCTTTGATCAAGGTACAATGATCAAGAGAGAGTGTACATGACAATTAAAGTAGCAAAATTCTTAGTAAGACACATCCAAAAACATAGATGCAGAACAGACACACAAACACAGACACAGAGCCACAGAGCCACACAGACACAGACACAGACACAGACACAGACACACAGACACAGACACACACACACACACAGACACAGACGCAGACACAGACACAGACACAGACACACAGACACACAGACACACAGACACATAGTCACAGAGACACAGAGCCACAGAGCCACACAGACACGCGCACACGCACACACGCACACACAGACACACAGACACACAGACACACAGACACACAGACACACAGAAACACAGAGACACAGAGACACAGAGACACAGAGACACAGAGACGCAGAGACGCAGAGACGCCAAGACGCAGAGACGCAGAGACGCAGAGACGCAGAGACACAGAGACACAGAGACACAGAGACACAGACACACAGACACGCAGACACATAGACACGCAGACACGGGAACCAACCCGCAAACAACGTTAAATCCACCTGAAACCCACGTCAAACCAGCCCTAAACCAGCCCTAAGCCCACCTTAAACCCAGGTTAAACCCACATAAAACCAGCCCAAAGCCAACCTTAAACCCACGTTATTTGGAGACGAAACTCGCGACCAAGCTATTGCTGTGGACCACGTGTCGCACGGAAATTCTTCGGACTGCAGTAATTATGTTCGACCCTGTGCACTGTGTCACCAAATGGCGTACTGATGCCGCTGACATTGTGGAGGATCCGTCGTTGAACCAGGCCTAAGCAAGCTCTAAACCACCTTTAAACCCATGTGAAGCCCACGGTAAGCCAGCCGTAAGCCAGTGTAAACTGACCCCAGGTTAACCTAGGCAAAGCAAGCCCCAAAGCAACTTTAATCCCATTTTAAGCCCGCTAAACCAACCTGAAACCCACGTTAGACTCACGTTAAGCCAGCCTGAGACAAGCTCTAAACCCACCTTCACTCGCCATGAGGAGGGGTGCCTTCGACGGGCTCTTCCGGAGCTGGGCTGAGGGCTTCCAGGCGGAGGAGGGCTACCAGGCGGCCGAACTCAGCCGGGCTATGAGGCATACCGGGCTACCGGCATGGTAAAATTGGGGTTTGTTGATGGAGGGTGGAGAACCAAGAAGAACAAAGCAAAAGGATTCGTCAGCTTTGGAGAGAAATGGTGAGCGTGTGAAAGACACACTCTCTAAAAACAATCACCACCCTTTCCAGGAGCCTCATGGCAAGGAGCCGCCTGGTTTTTGAACGGGGGAAATTTTCAGGGCTGGAGTGGGATGGGTTGAAACTGGATGGGTCACACCTTTTGAGATGGGTCCAGGGTTTGTTTTGGTTGGGCCAATCCAAAGGGTCCAACACCATCCGTGTCGCAGGGCTCCTGCCATTTCTCGCGGCAAGCGGGGCATTTGACAGAAGCATCAAGTTTGCGACGTGTTTCCAGAAACTTTCCGGGGAAGGGTGGCTGCCCGGCTTTTTGCCCTGGGGTATGTCTGCGCAGGTGCTGCAGGCGAACGGTGCGCAGCCGCCGGCATTCCGGATCTCCAAGGGTTTGAGCCCACAGAACCTGGAGGAACACTGGCGGAGGGTGCACCTTGGATCTGATTTTGGCCCCGAGGTTGGCGTCCGTTTATGGCAGAAGTTTCGATCCGTTTGGAAGACGGACAGAACGAAAGCTGCATCCTGCTCCTACGGATCTCTCAGAAAAATGACAGCTTCTCTGATTGGACCGAAATGAGATATAGCCTTTTTAGTCGGTATGGTTTGCCCAGTATCCAACCAAAGAGCTTTTGGGGTAATGGTGACCTAGGTACCTGGACGTGAGCACCCCGAAGCAGGGCTCCGTGAAAGACCCGGCCTACCTGCAGGCGGGGGTCGTCCAAGGTGGTTGCCCTTTTGGACAGGAAAGCCAGGGAATGTCTCTTGGATGTATGTTGGACAGCCTTTAACGAGAACTGAAAAGGGGGCGGCAAGTTTTGGCAGCCGCATTCATCGTAAAGTAAGGCACCAGAAACGTTTAGATCCATGGATTTCTTTTGGTATTTCTTGCCAAGCCAGTGTTGTTTTTGTATTTTTTGCAAAGCCTGCTGCAGTGCGTGTTTTGAGACAGACTCCACGACGTGGTGAGAATCCGGAAGCTTATTTTCCTTTGGAGGAAACCCGACCACTTTCAGAGGTCCAGTCAGGAAGCACATTAAGTCAAGACATCCGGTTCATGGTCCAAAGTTCTCAATGTGTAAGATCTAAGTAGTGCCTGATCGTTGCGAAGCCAGGGCCTGGCCAAGTGGCTTACCCACGAGCAGCCCATCACCTTGGCAGTGAACGGGGACGACGAGGATCGGTTCGGCAAGCATGTCGAGTTGGAAACCTATCCGCCTAAAGTTGGACAGTTAAACCAAAAGCTTAAAACCAATGTTGGAGACCTAGAATCTGAAGCGTAAAGTTCGAAACTGAAGGTTCAAATACCAATGCTTGGAGACCTAAAGTTGGAAGCTCAAAGGGCCAACTTTGATGCTGTATCTAAAGTCTGGAGACAACCGCTTGACACCTAAACTTTGAAATTCAAAGTGTGATTTGTAATCTTGGAAACCAACAACTGGAAACCTAAAGTTTGAAAGCTAGCACTTGAAACCGATAGTTTGACCCCGACGCTTTGACAACTTTGGACACCCACAGTTTTGACACCATACGTTTGAAACGAAACAGATGCAATCTACAGCTTGAACCCCAAGAAGCCCAACGTTTGAATCCTAGAGTTGGGCACTTACAGTTGAACTCCAACATTACTCTTTTAAACTTGCAGCTGACATCTAGAATTGGACCACATTGTTTGAAGCTGAATTCGACAGCGAAGATTTCGAAGCCTTTTTTGTGACATCTACAATTTGAACCCGAACTTCCAGTTTGACAGAGCTGACATTTGAACCTACAGTCTACAACCCAAAGTTTGACACCTGGTATGTGAGACTAAAAGTCACAAGCCTCAAATTGGACACCTGGTTTGAAGCCAGTTTGACACCTAAGAGTTGGCAGAATCGCCTCAGTTGTGCCGATCAGATCTTTTGTCAGGAGGCGGGCTTCCCCATCATGCGGCAGCTCTTCGAGACCACGGCGCAGGCCATCTACTCGGTGGGTCGCCAGGCTGGGGGCGAGCCTGGCGCTGGTCAAGGGGTTGTTGCATTCTCTCATGTTATCTGGGGTCTTTGCTGGTGTGATGTTTCCCACAGGGCGCATTTCAGACTTTCTCACAACCGCCTGCGCACTCCTTTTCGGAATCCCGTTCTGGAGGTGTGTCAAACGCTGGGCACGGAACCTGAGAAAACCACAACGAGCGTCTCCGCGCAGGGGCAGCCGGCCTTGACGGCGCAGGCCCGGCCTCAGGACGGGGAGATCTTTCCCTTTGTCGACCTAGGATTCTCCTGGGATCAACCTTCCCTTGACCAGTCCATGAGTCATCATGAGTCATCATGAATCATGAGTCAATTATGGGGAATTTCACTGACCGTTGCAGGACGGAGAGATCTTCGGCGAGTTTCCTCCTCGCGCGGAGATGCAGAGGCGCCGGCTCGGTGTCGCTTGCGCTTCCCCAAAGGCTGGGAAGGATGCTCGCCACAAATGGAAACCGTCTTGGGGTTCCCTTAAATCAAGCATAGTGAGGGCGGGCTCCAAAACAAAGACACACACACACACACACACACTTGCGCGCATCCCACCGTTGAGCGCCTTTGCAAACCTTTGCCAGCATTTTGATAGAACGAACACTCAATGATCAATGGGTGTTTGGCACTGTTCGCGAAGGTTCCTGCTTGCGGTTTCCACTGCCTGAAACTAACATGCAAACCGAAACACACAGTCTTCTTTCGTCGACGGACCTTCCCTTTCGATTCCGTTTGGGCTTCGACTGCAGCACTGTTTGTGTTACCCCGTTGCCCCAGCCACCAATCCGCGGCACCAGAAGAATTGACACTGGTTGCACAGCCAACAAGGGATGCAGACACATCCTCCCGAAAGCCACTTACATGACCGACGTACTCCAACAGCTCCCGCCATAGGTACACCTGCGGGCCTGTCTTCGTGCCCTCCAGCACCCCGAGCTACATGGCGCGCTACGAGGCGGCGCATCTCAGAGGTGCTGCCGAGCGGCTTCCGGCGCTGAACCTTGGCTGGCTGGAGGAGCGGGCCGGTTGGTTGCCAGCTGAAGCATGTTACAATACCGATTGTTGCACAACCTCATTCTAGTCTGGTTTCCCTTCAAAGAAACCAGGGCTGGTTTGACAAATGTTGGGCGTGCAGTCATGCCCGCGACCAATTGGTTTAAGCCTCCACACCTAAAGGGGACACCTGCAGGAAAGGCGTACGGCCACACAACCTGCTCACTTGAGCAAGGATCCATTCGTGGATTTAGGCAACCATAAGGGTGCTCTATTCAGGGAACCCGTGATGACCCCTGAAGTCTTGACAATGGCTAATGTATGGATCGCAACACAGCTTGGCAGCACATGCGCCCGCACGGGTGCTGGGCTGGTGGTTGCTGGGCCTTCCTCCCAATCATACTGTCCGAAATATTTAAGGGCTGCCGCCCAGTGCCGCCGACCCGCGTTATGTTTTGACACTTTTCTGTTCGGCTGCATGGCTATGCTTTGCTTGATGCTTTGTTGGTGGCCAGCGCAATTGACTTTTGTTTCTTCCCTCAGACACCAGTAGATTGCTAGCTGACAAGTGTTTCAGAGCGCAGGAATAGGTCCGCTGGATCAAAGCCTGCTTCAAAGTGTGTCGGAGTTCTTGCCTCTCTAAGTGGCTCCTGACGTTGCTCTCTCTGCATCGGCACTCGCTTCCCCTTAGGGGAGTTGAGGGATGCCCCCACAGGGGACTCCTGCCGATGCAAGAGCTAACGCAGGTGCCACCTGGAGAGGCAAGAGGTCCGGCACACTTTGAAGCAGGCCCCCAGATCTTTTGCACCTTTTGGGTGGATGCCCGGGCTCTGTTTGGCTGCATGGCTATGCTTTGCTTGATGCTTTGTTGGTGGTTAGCGCCCCCAGATCTTTCGCACCCTTTGGGTGGATGCCCGGGCTCTGTTTGGCTGTATGGCTATGCTTTGCTTGATGCTTTGTTGGTGGCCAGCGCAATCGACTTTTGTTTCTTCCCTCAGACGCAAGTAGATTGCTAGCTGACAAGTGTTTCAGAGCGCAGGAATAGGTCCGCTGGATCAAAGGCTGTTTCAGAGTGTGCCGGAATTCTTGCCCCTTTCAGTGGCTCCTGATGTTGCTCTCTCTGCATCGGCACTCGCTTCCCCTTAGGGGAGTTGAGGGATGCCCCCACAGGGGACTCCTGCCGATGCAAGAGCTAACGCAGGTGCCACCTGGAGAGGCAAGAGCTCCGGCACACTTTGAAGCAGGCCCCCAGATCATTCGCACCTTTTGGGTGGATGCCCGGGCTCTGTTTGGCTGCATGGCTATGCTTTGCTTGATGCTTTGTTGGTGGTTAGCGTAATTGATTTTTGTTTCTTCCCTCAGACACCAGTAGATTGCCAGCTGGCACCTTTTGGGTGGATGCCCGGGCTCTGTTTGGCTGCATGGCTATTCTTTGCTTGATGCTTTGTTGGTGGTGAGATGAATTGACTTTTGTTTCTTCCCTCAGACACTAGTAGATTGCTAGCTGACAAGTGTTTCAGAGCGCAGGAATTGGTCCGCTGGATCAAAGCCTGCTTCAGCTTGGATCAAAGCCTGCTTCAAAGTGTGTCGGATCTCTTGCCTCTCTAAGTGGCTCCTGACGTTGCTCTCTCTGCATCGGCACTCGCTTCCCCTTAGGGGAGTTGAGGGATGCCCCCACAGGGGACTCCTGCCAATGCAAGAGCTAACGCAGGTGCCACCTGGAGAGGCAAGAGGTCCGGCGCACTTTGAAGCAGGCCCCCAGATCTTTTGGGTCCCATCATTCCCAAATTTCCGGGTCCCATACATCCAGAATTTTCCGGGTCCCAGAAAGTCCAAAATTTTCGGTTCCCATAAATCCCAAATCTTCCGGGTCCCATCAATCCCAAATTTACCGGGTCCCATACATCCAGAATTTTCCGGGCCCCAGAAAGTCCAAAATTTCCGGGTCCCAGAAATCTCAAATTTTCCGGGTTCCATCAATCCCAAATTTTCCGGGTCCCACACATCCAGAATTTTCCGGGCTTCAGAAATCCTAAGTTGCGCGCTTAGTTCTTTGCAGTGTTTGTTTAGTTGTTCGTTTTGTTCTTTGTTTGTTTGGTTGGTTGGTTGGTTGGATGTGGTCGTACCGTGAAGAAGTCTGTTGTAATCTTACGGGGCCTGGTGGTTTGTTTGTTTTCAGGAGCTGCCAAAATGGTGGGGCTTTGGGTTTGGTAGGGGATTTGGTACGCGTGTACGCCTGTACGCGTTCATGCCTATATGCATGTTCGCCTGCACGCATGTACGCGTGCATGGGTGTTCGCGAGTGTCGCGGTTGCCGTGCCAATGGGGAAGGCGAAAAACGTGCTATTTGGATGACTTGAAGCGTGTCATTTTTCGTGCCCCTGTGCGGGAATTGTAGCTCGTAGCATGTCAGATGTTGTTTTGCAGCGCAGGCGCAGTGTTTTGTGCGGGTAGACAGCGTCGCTGTTGCGGCAGTGCGATTTGCGCTTCAGGGGTCGTTGTTTTGAGGTGTTTTGCTTGGAATGCGCGTGCAACTGTTTGCTCGAGTGTTATTGTCGTTGGCCCCGTCGTACAGGCGGTTTGTTTTCACGACTTCAGATTTGCAAGAAATCGATCGAAATCATTCTGGCGCTGCAGTCCTGTGCCAGTTTTCTGAATGCGGCGCGCGTTGCTGCGTGATTGTGCGTGCCAGCCACGTGGCTGGCGTGTGCGCAGTGCTGGGCGGGCTCAGTTAAACGGAGGCGCTGCAGTCCTGTGCCAGTTTTCTGAATGCGGCGCGCGTTGCTGTACGGGCGCGCGTGATTGTGCGTGCTAGCCACGTGGCTGGCGTGTGCGCAGTGCTGAAGGGCATTTCTTGCATAGTGGCTTAAGGCACTTTAGAACAGAAGGCCAATCCAGTTCAGGCTGGTTTGCATCCAAGCTAAGAAGGTTGGAAGTCAGTGTGAAATGGGGAAACGTGAGGGAACCAAACTAACACGTAACATGTGTTGCTATGAATGCATTGAGTTTGGTAGGCTTGGGTATGCATTGATCATTCCTTGATGTCTTGCCATTGTGGGACTCAAGTGGCCTTGAGCCAAAACTGGCAATTTTGAGTTAACTAAGTTCAACATGCCCCTGTTGCGTCCTGGCATTGATGTGGCGGTGCACACGGAGTGCCGGATGCTGTCTACAGCGGCCGGGTTGGACTCTGGTGCAGGCCCGGGGGGACCGGGTCGCCGCTCTTCGGCTGTGGCAGTCGGTGGGGATGGTGGTGCATTTTCGTCCGGGGGACGGTTTCGAGGTTCCGGGGCTGCCCCCCATTTTGCACGTGCGCGCATGGAGGAATGCGCGTGGTTTGGAGCGGGATGATGACTTCGCCTTCATGTTCCTGTCTGAGGAGGACGCCTATGCCGAGGGGGGCACAGCGCTGGCCGAAGCATGGCTGGAAGTGGCCGGCCAGGCATACGAGCGGCTGATGCCGGCGGCTGTAGCAGTGGCGGAGGGACCGCCGGTGGGCCGCACGCTGGCCCTCAATCCCTGCTGGGCGGGCTCAGTTAAACGGAGGCGCTGCAGTCCTGTGCCAGTTTTCTGAATGCGGCGCGCGTTGCTGTACGGGCGCGCGTGATTGTGCGTGCTAGCCACGTGGCTGGCGTGTGCGCAGTGCTGAAGGGCATTTCTTGCATAGTGGCTAAAGGCACTTTAGAACAGAAGGCCAATCCAGTTCAGGCTGGTTTGCATCCAAGCTAAGAAGGTTGGAAGCAAGTGTGAAACGAGGAAACGTGAGGGAACCAAACTAACACGTGTTGCTATGAATGCATTGAGTTTGGTAGGCTTGGGTATGCATTGATCATTCCTTGATGTCTTGCCATTTTGGGACTCAAAAGTGGCCTTGAGCCAAAACTGGCAATTTTGAGTTAACTAAGTTCAACATGCCCCTGTTGCGTCCTGGCATTGATGTGGCGGTGCACACGGAGTGCCGGATGCTGTCTACAGCGGCCGGGTTGGACTTCAAGCAGCACATCATTCTGGTGCAGGCCCGGGGGGACCGGGTCGCCGCTCTTCGGCTGTGGCAGTCGGTGGGGATGGTGGTGCATTTTCGACGGTTTCGAGGTTCCGGGCCTGCCCCCCATTTTGCACGTGCGCGCATGGAGGAATGCGCGTGGTTTGGAGCGGGATGATGACTTCGCCTTCATGTTCCTGTCTGAGGAGGACGCCTATGCCGAGGGGGGCACAGCGCTGGCCGAAGCATGGCTGGAAGTGGCCGGCCAGGCATACGAGCGGCTGATGCCGGCGGCTGTAGCAGTGGCGGAGGGACCGCCGGTGGGCCGCATGCTGGCCCTCAATCCCAGAAAGGGGCGGCGAGCCCCGGCCCCGCTGGCCGTGCAGCCGGACCATCTTGCTGAGGTTCTGCGGCATGTGGTGGGCTTTCGTGCCATGAGGCTGTCCGGGGAGTTGACCCCGGCCCTCAAGAAGAAGTGGGAAGCTTCATGCAGGCGGCGAGCACAGCATCTGCTCACCTTCTCGGAGAGGGCAGCCGTCATCAATGCCCTCAAGACCCGGGCTGAGGTGCGCACGCGCATGGAAGGAAGGGGTGGTCCTCTCCCTCCCCAGCATGTGGATGTCGACTCTTTCTTTCAGTGCAGAACTTCAGCACCTGCGAGGGCTATGAAGTGCTTGGTGAAGCAGTCCAAGCTGCCGTTGGAGCTGGGGGCGATCCAGCTCTCGGCGAAGCAGCCCAGGCTGGGGAATTTGCCTGGCAGGCTGCAGTGGCGGAGCCACCCATGCTCCCCATGCTGGAGGACATGATCGTGTCCAAGTACAGGGCCAATGACCCAGTATGGTCAGCCCTGCTCGGCTGGTGGCTGACAGCCACCGGAGTTCTTTGCTACGCGCACGTCATGAGGTCATGGCCCAGGCGGTTGAGCCACTCCACTTTTCACGGACGGTGCTCCAGAGGCAAACAACGGCAGAACAGGCAGGGGTTCGACTTCTGCATCCCTGCTGTTTTCGCCTGTAGCTGGCCCTGCGGGCAGATTGCGG